CTGGAGTGGCCCGTAGTCTCATGTACCGAATGAGATAAGTGAACCTTGGACGGGACAGCACCTTATTGACTGGGGGCTGCCCAGCTTGGGTGGGCGGTAGCTGTTTAATGAAATGTGAAGACTTCTCTCCCCATCGAGAGGAAGCCTCAGGTACCCGATTCCTACGGCCATCTTAAGGGGGGAGGGGTCGACCGGTAAGCTGCTCCTCACCGTGTTTATTTGCTGGAGTGATTTCTCCACGGGCGAGTGTGGATATGTTAGGTAAAAAGACTTTTTACCTAAAACTGCCTATTTTTCGAGTAGTTTCAAATTTTTTGGCGCTTTTTCTTGGTACTAATCGTCTACATCCAGCTGGCTGCCTCTGATTGGTCCATTCTGAAAATTTCCTCATTTTTTGCATTAATTGTCAAGGTCTCTGTGGTCGGAGATCAGAACAGCATATAAGCAGCCGATTTTTCTACTGGAAACTTTGACTTACTTCCTGTGTGTCAAGTACACGTTCGCTGTGCACTATCTGTGTTTTTACTTACGAAGCTGGGAGAAGGCTACTAGTGCTCGTGGTGTCCAATCTGTGCTGTGATCGTGCTCGCGGGGCTAGACGACTAGTGTGGCCGTTGAGGTACGCGCTCCGTAGTGCTCGGACCTGCCTCGTGTCTCTGTGTTCGCGCTCTGTGATATTGTGCACGTCATCCGTGAGCGTCCAGTCTGTATTTCGTCGTTCATTGTCGATAATGGGTGTCACTACCATTGTGTTGTGTTGTGTTCATCGACTCCACTTCGGACACACTGGGCCTCACGCAGCTGTCACTGTCATTGTCCTTCCGTGTGTCATTCTGTGCTATCTTGTGTGTCATTCGTGTGTTACCTTGTGTGATATCTTGTTGTGTGTTACATTGTGATTGATCGGACGCCGACACAACACGACAGTCAAAGGAAGCTACTTGGACACAGTCCTCTGACCTTTTAGGCACGATTGGAACTGTGGCTATGAGGAGCCATCCTGTACAGCTCGCAGGACCATGGAGGCGGGTAAACCATCAAGGGGCGTCAATGTGCAGTCGCGATAGATTCTTTTATACACCAGCCATGGTCGACTAAAATCGTATAGGTCGAGCATCAAAGGGAAAGGTAAATTGAGCAAATAAATGTACACAGCAAAAATAATTTCATATAGATTCATTTTCACCTTTCGCAATGCATTCCGTTCAGCCTCCAACGTATCACAGTGCGTGCGTGTCTCATCTAGACTCTTTTTAACCTTCTCCACTTGTGCCGAGTGGCTAGTGGTGACTCGATGCAACCGATTTCGTTCATCCTCTAACTCTTGAGTGCGTTTTTTATATCGTGCCGTTTCTTCTCGCTAAATAAAAAACAAAAAATCAACAATGCTCTTGTAAGAATTTTACTGGTGGAAAAAGAAAATGAACATCATTGCGGAGGCGAAAGAAATATTGAGGCTTCCAATCAATTTATTTCGGCCACCTCGTTCGAGCGGATGAGCCAAGATCACGAACAGTTTCATGGGAATTTGGTATGAGTGATGTCCCAAACCTCGCTCGGTTTCTTGTTTGAGGATGGATCTCTAGCATTTACACAGCCAAGTGTGAACTACTAGAGAGTAGGAGTAATCCGATATAAAGTGCATGTAACTGTCAATACGGTCTGTTGATCATAAGACTAATACGTTACGACTACCCACTAATGACTGTTTAAACCGTTGGCTCTGTTTTCCCCATGTACAATGGAACAAGTAGTCATTTATTCGATATTAAAGATTTGTTACAATCGACCGTTCAAAAAGCCATGAAAATATCTACCAATCGAATTATTTGCTATTAGAAAAAATCACATTAAAATAGCCACGGATCAAGCACTTTATACCTAACAGAATGAGTGGGCAAATGAGAAGGTTTAACAAAAGTATAGAGAATGAGTAACGTATACCTGAGCGCCATGTACTTTCCCCAGTGGAATATGGGAAAATCGCAAAGGTATGATCAGAAACTATCCTATCTTCTGCAATTCATTTAACGCAACAAGAAGTCTACACATTTAATCTGCCGCAGTAATTTCACTACTTTCTTCCGCTAGCCACTGCGTGTATTGCCGAGACAGGTATATTGAGAGAATAAATGGAAGAGGGAAACATAATAATTATCATGACCAGCTTACAGAGTCGTTTAATTCCGTGTTCATCTTCTGCAGTTCTTCTTGCAAGACACGAACTTTCGCCTTCAGATAGCGGTTCTGTGCTTTCATGCTGAGCTTCGAGGCTGGTTCCGGCAGAATATCTCCGAACGGAGCATCTTGGACGACCTCCTGATAAATAAATTCCATTTGAATGGAAAAAGATTTCGACAGACGTGAATGATGCGCGTTATAAAAAATTGTGCGGACAGTTAGTTAACCTTACGCCCAGAAGCTACACGAAATATTTGATTGAAGCGTTGAATCCAACACAGCCCGAAAACCGAATTTCAACCGGCCGTC